TATATATATATATATATATATATATATATATATATATATAAATATACATTAAAAGGCTTTGATATAACAAGGCGAAAACTTTGTTCTATTGAGCTTGCACTCTTCTTAATGAACTAAATGAAGTTCCTGAAGAAGAGCGCAAGATCGAAATTAAGCCAGAATAAAGTACTGTATATACCGTTGATGACTCTTCAAATCTTTGTCTATGAATGTAATAATAATCAGTAGTTTGTATGACCTCTCTTATTGTTTTATCTTTTATATTTATTTCTCGTCAATTGTGGTTTGCCCGACAAACATACGTGGGAGTTACATAGGCTTACGTTATTTCAATGTCAGAGATACACTGTTGACGGTTAAGATGCACGCAAGTAGATACTTTAAAGAGGCTGTTTCACGTTCGTTACGCTAGCACGTAGGTCTATATTCTGGCTCCATCATCTGAGTTGGTGAATTCCCCCGTTCCTTGTGTGTTTCTTGGTCAATGCAACGCAGGCTGAGCCTGACAGGAGTGCCGTTTTGGTAACAACGTTGTGTGACGTGTCTTCGCGGTCTCATACTTATAGAATTGTGTCGGTTAGTGAGCCGACGTTGATGCGCCGAGCTTTGTTTAAATGAAAATGTCTTTGTGATCAACAATTACTGGTATAATCATTTAAGAATAACTTGTTGCGGTACACCATGTAGATAGTTCTGAAAAGAACTGTTGATTTTGTTGCAAGTGTGTCGGCGTTTCAATTGATATTGGACAGTTTTCAACCAATCAACTGCGATCTTTATTTCCCTATCATAAGTATTACTCTATGTTGATTCTCTGCAGGCATTATTCTCCCGATGACGATTGAAGCAACTAAAGCGAAACGTCGAGACAATCTCAACAAAAACAACAGTTCTTTAAACAATATTTTATTATTATTTAAATGCGGTCCAACCGTATAACCACGATTAATTGCTTACGTTTTCACTTTGAACAGGTACTGCGATACCGTACTATAAAAAGTATTTAAAACGGTTCAACACCCTAACAGTAACTTTTAAAGTATATCTTGCCTATTTGCCTCTTACTGTATATTTTTCGATTGTAGAGAACATGATTCATTGTTTAATTTAGTTTTTCTTTTAGAGCATACTTTATTAAACGCTAATATTTTATTCCATATTTAAAAAAAAAATGTGTGTATGTGTTATGTTATCCACACTGTACAAAAACATTGACTTGAAAATGTATATTATTATTAGAACAAGATCTATATCTCCTTGGCAACATGACTTTTAACCTCATGGTATACGTGTCTTCGTAATATATGTAAAAGATCACGCACAAAATTGTATATAATTTTTTTGGAGTCGATGTATGCGCATGCTCAGTCGGTACTGTTGTTATCCATTGTTCAATACTGTATCAGGTAACAAAAACAACTATTATTATTAGGACAAGAGGTCTCGTAAATAACATTATATGCCTATTATTATATACGCCTACTTATTATTAGTTGTATAACATAAATTATTGTACATATAATTCGTGGCCGCGAGGGTGTTGCGAAGGAAGTGTCATGTATTGCGTCTATGTGTTACTGATGTGAGTGTGGTATTATTTTATTGTGTACTATGTATTGGTAAGGTGTTTTAAAACAGACTTTGTTCCTTTTTTAAATGTTCCTTGCCATGTGTGGCATTTTTTGCATGCATAAGTCTATTTTTTTTTAATGTGTACATTTAAAAAGTGTATGCTAGTTGATATTTTGTTTGGTTTGTGTTTTATTGGTTTGGCTTACACATGAGGGCGGGTGCTCTAAGTGCTTAGTACTTTGCTTTCTGTTATTGTTTTGGCTTTTAAATAATTGTTTGCACGGTTATCGTAGTAAAGACTCCACTCTGTCACAAAATACGCCATATCAATGTGACACCATTTGACTACTTTCTGTGGAAAAATAATGTGGTGGGAACTGAAGTGTTAGTTGCCTCTAAAAGTTAACTATGTTCCGCATTAGTTTTTATCAAAATGTAATGCTTACATATTTCACTATACCTGTAAAATTATGGCTACATAGCCATAACTAAATTCTTTATTTTTGACGAAATAAGCAATTATATAATACCGTATTTATTCGAATAAACGCCCCGCTTTGAATAAACGCCTCTTCATAGCCTCATTTGGAATAAACGCCTCCCCTTTCATCGAATTAACCCCCCCTCCACCTAAATGACTGTAAACAAAATTAAAGGAAGCAACATCATTCTCAACACATCCTTCTAAAGTTTTACTCACTTACTTTTCTAACCTTAGGATCAATAAGTCTTTATGATCACACATTAATATATTTTGACAGTAATTATGAGTTGTAATTTCACGTTTACAGTTAAATTAAGGGGCGTTTATTTGAGTATATACGTATTCATTTAACACCAAAACAAATCACCTCGAATAAACGCCCCCGCAAGACTTTTGTCAACAATAAACGTCCAGGGCGTTTATTAGAGTAAATACGGTAATTGATTTTTTTTTCTTAATAAATAGATATTCAAAACGTAATATGTTGAACTTATTATTATTATGTTGAACAATTAATTTTGTATAGTAGGCTATACGGGCAAATTTCAAAGAAAAGTTGGTCTTCACAAAACTTACCAGTTGGATGCAACCGTAGGCCAGATCTGGGTGTGAATATGTAAACATATTAAGCCTACATAAGGGCGAAAATAAGTAAATCAGTGGTATTCTTTTTACAGGGTCTGTAAAAATAATAAGTGTTGGGAAATATATATGAAATGCGTTATGTCATGCGGTAGATGTTTTGTTATTACTGAAGTATGTCAGTATTTCATTATTTCCAGATTTCATACAAAACAAACTAGCTTATCAATTGCATCAATAACAATATATACAATGTTAATAGTATAACAAAGATAAAAAATTAAGTAACAATAGGTCAAATAATAATAGGTGTAATAACAATTTTTCGATGTGAGTAATAATAATATTAATGATAATGGTGAGGATGATGATGAAGATGATGATAATGATGAGGATAATGACGACGATAATGATA